ACACACACACACACACACACACACACACACATTCATTTTTATATATATAGATACATGTCGAAATTCAACCTCACTGAAGGGAGATGGTTAGGATTAAGGCTTACGGTAAAGAACTCTGCTTCTATTTATACTATTTTAGATGCGGGTTTTTGCGTTTTTGATTGCGTTTTAATAGGGTACGTCAACAGAATGTACACTAAGAAGAAATTTTTCGAAAAATTCTCCCCCCACGGGGGAAGTGTTATAAATTTATAATAGATACATTTTGAGCCACAACAACGCGTGGCGGGGTCTGCTAGTAACTAATAAAATTCGTTTTTTCATACTTAAAATATTTATCAAATCAATGTAAGCTAATAACATCATTCCATTGTTTATGATTAATTGTTTCTATATATTTCTTGCTACGTTATCTCTAACATGTTAAAGTTATACTGTCTATTGACGAATATGATTGTCAGAATTAAATTATTTTGGTGGAGCCAAATGGTAAAGTATACTTAGGGTTTTATGATTTAAAAATTTCCGAGTTAACGCCTAAAAAAGTCTGAGGATCCAAACCTGATTCGAAGAAAAGCTTTGTAATCGTCTGGGCCATGCGTTTGTACATAGAATAAGAAATACTTAATTATATCTTTTCCGGCAATCAAACAGGAGGGTAAGGGTAAATTATGCTTGCCATCACTTGTTATGAGCTCTTATTAAAGAATAAATTTTTATGCTTATATTGAGTCTTACATACATACATATCTTTACGGTCATAATCCAAAAAGAGTGAGCAGGAGGCAAAAAAGACTATAATATTACAAACTATTCATCATCAACTTTCTCTAGCACACTTTCTCACGTTCTGTTTCTGACTCAACACCGTATATTCTTTCAGATGCTTATTCAATTTTTCCAAGCAAGATTTTCTCGGCCTTCCGCTAACAAGCTTTTCATTCATCTTCCTCATATATGCTCTCTTCAACAGTTCTCCTTTCGTTCTCTCAACATGGCCGAATTATCGTAGGGGCGATTTTTCCACCTTTTCAACCCAATTTTCTTTCACTCCATATCTTCCAGCACTTGTTCATTTCTCACATAGTTTCTCCTTGTTATGCTACACGTTCCCCTCAAATATCTTATCTCACATAGTAACGCTCTTCTGCCATACCCAAATTTCGCTACCATACATGAGCCAAGCAACACAACACTTCCATACACAATTATTTTGTACATCCAGTTATTCTTTACAAATCTACTCATTGCACCTACCACAGAAGAGTGAATGCTGGAGCTCATTGTATGAGTTTCAGCAACTAATCTGTTGATTTTACCGCATATCTTTCCATTTCCATCTATCATGCTTCCCAAATATATAAACTCATTCACATGTTCCAGTTGTTCACTATTCAACTGAATCATGCAACCGTTTGCCTTCAAACTCAATCACTTCAGTTTTACTCACATTCACTCACAGCATATATTCTTCTCACGCCTCTTCAAGCTAGAAACAAGTGTGTGAAACTCTTTCTTACTCTCTGATAATAGCGGTATCATCCGCATACAACAAACGACGGACTCGTTTATTTTCAATTCTCATTCTACATTCAGGTACTCTAGATCTCATCAGGCGTGCATCCACAAAAACATTAAACAATCATGGGGACATAACACACCTTTGTCTTAGACCTCCTCAATTATGAACAACTGAAACACTGTCATCCACGCGTTCGAATGCTTTGCTGTTTTTAAACATTGCTTTCACGTCTTTAAGTAGTTCACTACTCACTCTATAATCGGTTTCTCCCTATTCACACTATCATATTATTTTTCTGGGAATAGGAGTAAGTTTTTAAAAGTTCTGAATGCTAATAACGAAAAGTTCTGAATGCTAATAACCATATTAAAAATCGATATCTTCTATCTCTCTTTCCTTCGATTTACAATTTCCAAAATATATATCATTAATGTTCCATAAATATTTGCGTAAAATTTCAAAATTTTTCGATCTTGACAATCTTGAAATATAAAATAAAATATAGATCTAATACACAGAGGCACACAAAGTGAGAAGAAAGAGAGAGATTGCTTTTATCTGTCTACAAAAAAAAAAAATATGTAAATAATTTAAATTGCTGATAATAACCATAAACTATCTAATCTGTGATGAAAACAATATTATCTTTACGAATACACCCCTGTATAAATTCTATTATATATTCATTATAAATTGTGCTTAAGCCCATGTTTCTTGAAATTTCTGTATAAAATGTTCTCATTTTTATATGCAATTATAACAGTCATCTGTCTCACATTTCTGTGGATAAGGTAAATATTGATCTTAGTTAATATAAATTGATAATTTTACATAAAAGTAAACAAACATATCTTGACTTTTCTAAAATTTCAAAACCATTTCATTAAATTATTTAAGGCTGTGTACACATTAGGCGTTTTAAAGAACCAAGAGTTCTGCATAGGTATACATACTCAAACGCGCGTTGATAGATTTTTGTTAGAACGAGCGTTTCGCGGGCGTCTGCCGCACGCTTTGAGATATATGTGCTGCCATGTTGTACATTCGATCGCGCGCTTTCGGGTAGAGTGGACATACGTTGTCCGAAATGGAGAACGATCATTTCGATACTGATCTATTTATTGATGAAATCTAAAATAGACCAGCCATCGTCAAAATGATTTTATAGATATTCTAAAAGAATTAAAAAATTTGGGTTCATTTGTTTTAATTTTGGATATAACGTCACAAACATTCCATGCTCAGTCTATCTCATAATATTGGGTGCATCCAAAATTCTCTTTGCCTCTGCCATGGTATTTTATAGCGACGATGGAGGAGGCACATACAAGCAATTACTTTCACGTCTATTTCCAAACTGAGCCAGTGCTCACGCTCCACTAAGTGTCGTCGAACGCCGAGCTAACGCGCGGTGTGTACGCTGCTGACGCGCGTTTAACGTAACCCAAAACGCCTAATGTGTACACAGCCTAAACCTATTCCATGTTTGTTTCGTGCTCATTAATGAAGTTTTGATACATAATTAGTTTAATTGAATTAATAATTACTTTACTAGGCTAAATAATTTTTATCTTTCTTCCAGACTTATCAAACCGATCTTCTAAGGCAGCGATTCCCAACTCAGGGTACGCGGTAACCCTGGGGGTACACGATAGGTTGTTTAGGCGTTCGGAAAAAAGTTAGTTATTAGGCATAAAAAATAACATATTATGTTTCACAAATTAATAGTATTAAAAAATTATTAGGTAAAAATTGTTCCTTGCAACAATCACAAACTTTATTATACATTTCAAAATGCTAAACTAGAAATAAAAACTTATGCTGCCGATTGTACAATGCAACAGATCAATAAATGTTGCGCAGTCGGTCAATGGTAGTAAGGATACCATTATGTCTGATTAGTGATTATGCTACGAACTTTTGATTATGTGTGTTACCGTTATTATTATTATCTCTCAACAATAACCTCACGTGTTGTTTGAAAAAAGTATTCTTTTCTTTATAAAAAGTACTTTTTATTGTTACCAGGGAAAAGGACAGCTAGTTTCTCCAGATTTTCTGTACAAGCGGTAATTTTTTCATTATGTATTCAGTACTTTTATTAATTTTTTATTGACAAGACTATGTCTTGTTTATAAAATCGTACTGCCTGCTGTGTTACCAGCTTAGAGGTATGAAGGAGTACATGTCAAAAGATACAATTTGGCACAAAGTATTGGGTGCCAAAATCATGCGCGCATAAAAAATTCCAGACTTGTAGGTACTCAGGGAGCCGAGAACCGAGTCAAAATAAAATTCAAAATGGCGACACTCTCTACAAATAAGCAGTGCGAGATTTGCTCATGCGTTGCTTGTTGGGAAGTTGGAAATGCCATGGGGGTACGCTGACGAAAAAAGGTTGGGAACGGCTGTTCTAAGGTAATGTCAGCAATGTTCCCTCTAAGCTGCGCGGCTGCGCGGCCGCGCACTGCTCGAATTGTTGCCGCGCACAAGAATTTATGTACGAGCATGCACACCGATTTAAATTGTTGTTTACTTATTTCTCACTCTGTCTACAACATGATTATTGCTACTTATATTTCAATTAAATACATTAAATCATTGACAAGAGATAATATTTTGTATAAAAGTATGTTTTAAAATGAATTTTAATCTCTACTTTATAATTAATTATTTTAATTTTTATACAAAAAAGAAGATTATATATATATATGCTCAGCAAAAATATTTTTTGCTCAGTATATGTTCCACTCATCGACAAAAAAAAATTAGAGGGAACATTGAATGTCAGCCTTATTTCATAAGGCTGACATTACCTTCGAAACCTTTATTTTCGATGTTCATTTCAGGTAACTTAGTTTTTTATTTGTACATCTCTCTATTCTTCCAACTTTACTTTTTCTTCAATACAAATTATTATAATCACCCTCGTATTTACAAACTAAATCAGAGGGGTACGAATAAAAAAGTACTTAAAATGTATATTGAAAATAAAGGATATACTGTATTGTGAAATAAGGCTGTCAATTTACAAAATTGGTTTGATAAATCTGGAAGAAAGAAAAAAATTCTGTTAGCCTTTTACAGTAATTATTAATATTAAGACCCAGACCCAGCCAAAACTCATAAGTTCTGAATTGGACACAGAATAAAGGCCAAGATATTCTAACAGAGTGATTACTGAGGATGAATCATAGTGCTTTTTGTAACTTAAAATAGAAATCAGCCTCTTTACCAAGACAGAAAAATATTGCGTATTTACATATTCAAGTAAAAAATAACCCTTGTGGCATTTTTGATATTAAAGGCTTGCTGGGTAAGAGTTTGCTCCGCACGTCAAACCCCTCAAGTACACTTGAGGGGTTTGACGTGCGGACTACATTCACTTTTCCGGTCATCTCCATCACGCAGTGAAAGTAAATATGGCCACATTTCCGGCATACAAAAAAGCTGACACATACTGTGCATATTGAACATCTGGAGAAACATCAGATACATGAGTGAAATACAATACACAACCTCCCTACACACTTAGCTTACGTTTGCGCACTTTTACGAAAATTATTATAAATAAAGCAGTCTTAGACATCTTTATATATTTCAGATGGAGGATTAAGAAACTAAATGTATTTAAAAGATGCGGTATTCCTGGTCCTGAACCCGAATTTTTAACTGGAAATTTGAAAGAATTTAACTTAGATGTAAGACGTTTATCAAATACAAATAAACCTGAGGACTTAAAATAATATTTTCTTATTTTTTAGCGAACGAAATGTACTAAGGAATGGTTTGAAAAATATGGAAAAATATTCGGGTAATATATTGCTTTTTAAGTTATATCCTATAATTAAATAATCATATACAGTAAAATTGTCCAAAACGTGACCTGGTAAAGCGGAAAACTGCCCTACACAGGAAAAGTTGCTCGAAACGGAGCAATTTTCTTTGTTAAAATTCCTGTTTAAAACGGAACCTGCCAAACAGGAAACATATTCCGACCGTGCGGTTCCAGTTTACGCAGGTTTTTACTTTATTAATGGAAAAAAAAAATCTAAATATATATTTAAAATTTAATTAATTGTACTTAAGCTAAAACAATTTTACAATAAAATCTTTAGATTCTACTTAGGAGCCAAACCTTATATAATGTGTTCTGATATCGAATTCCTTAAAATTATGCAAATTAAGGAGTTTAAAAATTTTTGCGGTAGAGACGTAAGTTCAGCTTCTGGTCTTCATTGTATAAGAAACATTACATTTTAAAACAGTTTATTTATAAATGTTGTTTTCTAGCGAATACTTCCAGATATGGGAATATCTCACGAATCAGTAAAATATATTATAGCATTGCAAAAAGGTATTAAGTGGAAAAACCTAAGAAGTGTCATGACTAATTGCTTTACCTCTCAAAAAATTAAAATGGTATTATAAAACTTTTATTTATATTCCATACATTCTATTGTATATTTTAATATTGTTTACTTCTTCATATTTTCAGATGAGCACAGTGATACATGATCCGATTATTGCTTTCATGGAAAAAATCAAAAAAGAAAATGGCAAACCTCTCGATATTGCTCAGAGTTACAAAAGTCTAGTGTTTAATATAATGGGAAAATTAATATTCAGTGCTAAATTAAATGAAGAAAACGAAGAATACAATAAAATTGTCCAGTGTTTAGATTACTTACTTCAAAATGATATTGTGAGAATACCATCAATCATATCATGTAAATGATTTTTTTACTATTTTTTAGGAGTTTTTAAAAATAAATTTATGCTTCTTCAGTCAAAATTTATTCATTTAGTGTACTTTCCTGAAATGGAGCCACTTCCTACTTACTTTCGATTGTTTATGGACATTGCCAGAAATATGTTAAACCTTCGTTCAGTTCGATTGATTTTGAACACTGTTAAGAAAATAATTGCTGCTCGAAAACGGTTGATGGTTGATCTATTTTCAACTTTTGCCCCCAAAATCTTTAATTTATTAAATTAAAAATATTTTCAGAATAATCAAGATATTCTTCAAACTTTCCTGAAAGCTGAAGTAAGTTCGACAAATCGCAACAGAAAATTAACTAGCGATTATACTATTGTTAATATTGTACTACTGTTGACAGCAGGGTTATTATATTTTTATTATACTGTATATAAATAGTTTTTTTTAAGTTATATAAATGAAAATTAATATACCTTAAAACTTTTACAGGTATGAAGCCATTAAACTAGCATTAGAGTGCTGCACGTATCATCTTGCATATAATTCAAAAATACAGGAAAAGATTCGACTGGAAATTAATAATCACATCGAAAACAATGTAATTTAGTACAGTATTATGACTTTTAGAGGGAAAGCATGGCAATCGGACAGAAAATAATCCCCCAAATTTTTACATTTTTGGATTCGGGTGACATTAAAACGTCGAGAATACTAAAAATTTGGGGATTTTTTGTATGTGTGGATGTTGGTGTTTGTATGCAGGGGGCGCGATTTTGTTTATACGATTTAAAGTTTAATAACTTCTGTAGACTATCTTTTGTCGAAAATTTCTAAATCTTTACAGGGAAGTTGATATATTAAGGACTTTGATGCTGTTCAACTTGGTGAGTAAAGATCGAGAGGGTGGGCAGATGGAAGGCGTCGTGTGTTAGTACAGTATCTGAAATGGAGTCACACTTAATGAAGATTTTGATTCATTATTAGCGTTTACAAGTTTTCTCTCTCTTTTTTTTTATTATAAAACTCATCTGTACTCTTAAAATTTTATAGTTTATCCGGGAAAGTTATGCAACTCGTTGCTGGAATTTTTAATTTTGTTTTGTTTTCATGAAAATTTTCCTTTTGACAAAATAAACAATTTGTAATTTTCTCTGCACTTGAAATGTTAGTTGAATAAGAAGTCAATATGTGGCCTTACGTTAATTTTTAAATTATTATCTTAATCAGTTAATAGTATGAAAGAATATGGAGGTTTTAATGATTATTATAATTTACTTTTACAAATTTACACCGGAATCAAATAGATTTTACATCACTTTTACAGAAAGATATTCAATACGAAGATCTCATAAAACTTCAGTATCTGGACCAGGCTATTTCAGAAACACTGCGATTTTCATCACAGTCTGTTATGTAAGTTTCATAAAGACAAAAGAAAAACTATATTTTTATAACTCATTATGAAATATTTTTCAGAAATATTAGCAGAGTGGGTGAGCATGATTTCAAATATAAAGGAATGACCATACCAAAACACGTAGCAATTTTTGTACCCGTGCCAATTCTTCATACAGACCCGAATTATTGGCAAGAACCAGACAAATTTGATCCTGATAGGTGTGACTTGTTGCATACCATAATTTATGATACTAAAACGGTACAAAATGGAAAATATATAAATTAAATTTTTGCCCTTACAGATTTTCACCTGAAAACAGAATAAATATTAACCCAATGACTTATCAACCTTTTGGAGCGGGACCCAGAAATTGTGTTGCGTACAGATTAGCACGAACAGTCATGAAATTGATCATGGCTAATCTGATCCGATCTTTCGTATTTGATGGTTGTGAATGTGAGGTAAATATGTTTATAGTATATTTACATAATATAGTTTATATAATAATTCAAATGTGTATTCTCTTTCTCTATAGAGATCTGTAGTGAAACACTCAATATTTTCAACTCGTAAGAAAGATTCAATTTTAATCAAAGCAACTCCAATATCTTCCAATTGAGTATAAAAAAATTAATTTTTGTAGAAAATTTTTCTTAATTATATTCATTAATTTAATTGAAATGTATTAATTAAGATTATTTTATTTATAATATATGTTTAGTATCAAGATCATCTATAATACATAATTATAACAATAAAGCATTTAATGTTTTGTTTCGGAATGCTACAGAATTAAAATATAATAATTTATTTTGCAATTTATTATAATTATCTGTATCAAATCTTATTGAAAATCTTACTATATGCAGTTCATACCGTGCAAAATTAATCTGTTTTTACTCCTATACAGAGCCATAAGTATATAGGGAGTATACAAGTGCATACTACGTATGTATATGCATCTGTATATCCCCTTCTTCCTGAATACCATGCATATGCATTCATGTACATGGGATTCAGAAAAAAGTGGCGCTAATATGAAAGTGAAAAACATCAAATATATTGTAATAATATTTTCGTTTATAAATACATGTAAATCAACTTGTATACTCCTTGCGTACACAAAAATTATTTATAAATAATTTTGTCATGTATATTTTATTATTATTTTTATTATTCTCCCAAACTTAAGAGGCCTAAATATATAGCTTTGCACAAAACAGATGAAAAGGTAGTTACGATACTGCGTATTATCGAAATTTTTGAATCTATCTGTGAAATGTTTTTGTTGTATGGTTCTTTGATTAATTTGTTAATCTTTGCAAATTTCTCGATTCAATATATTTTTGAGGTCCAAGTTGGAGGAGAATGTTTTCGTATGTTCTTGTTAGCGGGATGATGGTCCTGTAATTGCAATGGTAATAATGTTTTTAAAAGTGTATGCCTATAAAAATTTCACAAGAAACGTTAACAAATAAAAATTACTAAATACGAGCAAATATTTATTGTTACATCGCCTTAATGTAAGAGCTGCAATTTTTAATTATATTTTTAATTTATTTAATTGAAAATATATTCTCACCACCTCAAATTAGTACTGTAATGTCTTGCCCCTGTACAGTACATCATACTTTTTCTTTAACAATAGAGTCGTGCTTGTCGTCTAACGCCTTTTGGGAGAAAATGTTTGAATTGAAATAATTTGAGTTCTAAAACAAAATTAAAATGCATTAGCAATCTGTTGTCCTCAAATTTTCAGCTTCTATTTATTAAGATAGAAAAAGGCTGAAAGCGAAAAATATACAAAGTAATTAAAATATTCGAAACAGAATTGCTATGTACAGTACATTCAATCATAATATGAATAAATAAAGAAATCACAGATAAAAATTATAATTAAAAAGCAAAAATCAGTTAATTATGTACACTTTTAAATAGAAAATACTTAATGACGATTATGCGTAATAGAAATTAATTAAGTTTCATTGTAGCACATCATAATTTACCTTTAAGCTATTCATGGTCGACATGTCATAACAGTGAAACTTCTTCAAGCTGATTAAAGAAGAGATTGCCTGAAATATGTTTGTGAATTAATACACATAAATATTATGAAATTTAGGCTACTTGTTATAATATATTTTTATTCTATATAAATCATATATGTTTTCAAAAGAAACGGTAAATTTCCAATACAAAAAAACAAAATGAAAATGTCAAAATATTGATATTTATCAAATTAATAATTTAATATTTTAAAAAAGTTCTCCAGAGCAATATAAGATTGACATATGTTAATTATTTCAATTTCTCATCTCTCAATTAAGCAAATAAATAATTAGATTACTAATTTAAGCCATTTGTTTATAAATATAACGAGCAATTATTTACCGTATTTTGACGAGTATAAGTCGCTGTCAAGTATAAGACGCACCCCTATTTTGAGACAAAAAATTTAGAAAAGACTGTTTTAATGGGATTGTCTAAAGATGCATTTTATTCGTTTATTTATTCAAGAATATGACGGATGGATGAATCGTTACTTTTATTAAACTGAAATAATCGTCATTTCTTAAACTCAGAGGTCACGTGATGACAGTCGACAGAACATTGCAGCGATGACTCGTGTGTCGCTACTCTATATTATCTACTCGATAATCTAGATATTCTAGCCATTCGGTTGAGGGATCGTCTGCTTAACGGACCACTGCACAGGTTGGTCCCTAGAGTGGCCCACTATTGTAGGTAATTTCACTGTAAAAATGGTTACCTGTCGAGTATAAGACGCACCATGATTTTGAGCTCCAAAAAGTAGTAAAAAAGTGCGACTTATACTCGTCAAAATACGGTATTGTGACATGGTCACAATGCCATGCTGCAATTTGTAATCATATTTTTAATTTACTTAATATAAAATATACGCTTTCCACCTCAAATTAGAAATGGCTTGCCCTTGTAGGCTATATCATCCTTTTTCTTTAACAACAGAGTCGAGCCGGTCATCCATTAACTGCTTTCAGGGAAAATTTTTAATCAAAATAACGTAACTTCCAGTTTATATCGAAAGTTCTTATGTAGTTACTCTAGGCCTCCTGCTCACATGCTTTCCATAATTGGTCTCAGATTTCATCTATTTCCGTTATCGAGATTAAGGAAGAAAAAACGGACGGATGGACGACAGAGAGAATTTATAGGTCTACAATATTTTTAAAATTTCAGCCTAATTATATGTTATAAGTTAGATAGATGTTTATAAAGTATTTTCGATGGAAAATTCAAAAACCTTCGTGTTGCCAGCTGGTTGGTGATGCGCGATCCTGCAACCAACTACCATTCCATTTAGCCACTGATGGGCATTTAAACTACAGTTTTAATATTATTAGCTTTACTTTTTAAAACCAATAAAATTTTATTAAGATATTCTTGATCTTACAGTGAAAATATCTCAAGTTAAATGCTTGGTTAAAGTTAAAGAGTGAAGATCTTAGTGATGTTCTTGTCCAACCTCCGTCTCGTTGAGTTGGTTTCCATGTGTATCACGATTCGATGTAGTGATCCAGGTTCGATGGAAAGCACACCTCCATACTCAAATTGATAATATTTACAGTTTATTTACAGATTCTATATGCAGAAAGTACAAGTTCGAAAACATAATATATATACAGGATAACAATGCGTAGTGACTCACGTACTAGATTGGTTTCCAGGAACTGTTAAACTTTGGAGAGGCCTCAGTCAGCTTGTGGAGTTGGCTCAACTGCACGGTCCGCCCAGTCTTCGCACTAACCCGTCCCTGAGATGTTTACCAGAGGAGAACACTCTCTCTTCGCTTAGTACGTATCCCAAGTGCCTGAGACTACCGTGTACCAGTCTCTCCTCCTCTCTCGTTCGTCCCGCAATATAAGGGTTTTTTGGATGGGGACTTCCGACCAATCACAACCCTTTCTTGTCCAACAGCTTACACTCGGATCCGCCGTCATCTGACGAGAATGGAGCTTACATAAACGTCTGCCACTTGTTTACATTTAGTTGTTTACCATATGGCAAATGGTCTAATGTCTGACTACAGGTGGGTCCAATTGACAAAGTCGGCGCTTCCTTTGTTTTCCCTCTGTTAAAAGGTATTACACGGAAACATTTAACTTTACATAAAGTTAAATGTTTCCGTGTAAATAAAAATTGTCTATAACAAAGTAAAAGATGCGCCAAATATTTAACTCCGGAAAATAATCGTAATTATAATTTAATTCATTAATTTAAAAGTTGTGTGCAATTAATTGCAAAGAACAAAAGAGAATTTGATTATATTCTAAACATTTACTTTATATATAGTCTATTATATTTGCATTCTGAACTAATCATTTTATTGATATGCTCAATGCTTCTTGTCCAAACGATTGTTGTACATTTTAAATCACACAATTCGATAAATTTAAGACTTATCATACGGGGAATATATCCAAAAGAATACGACAAAATTAATTACGCAGAATTGTGAATGCGCAATACATTTAGAGTCAAGATTACCTTCAGTTGCTGTCAATCTTTTAAAAATATTAATCCTGAGTAAATTCACAACGAAATTAAATCATTTTAGTATAATATTAAGACAAAAAAGTAACATAGAATTACGCATTTTTAGTATATTACTTTTTCTACATTTTCTTGATACATTAATTGAGCTGCGATTTAAAAAAAAAAAAAATTGTAGAACTATAAATTCCCACTCGTCCATCCATCCGCCCGTCTGTCTGTCATTCCCTAATCTCATGTCATTTCAATTCAAAAGTTCCCCTGAAAGCAGTTAATAGATGACAGGCACGAGTCTGTTGCTAACGAAAAAGTATGATGTACAGGGCATGCCACTACTAATTTGAACTGGATTGCATATATGTTAAATTAAATAAATTAAAAATATGATTAAAAATTGCAGCCCGATGTTGTGACTGATACAGTAAATAATTGTTTGTTCTTATATTATTAGTTTTATTCTAAATTAATAATGTAATGTAGAATTGTCATTGAGGAATGCATTTCATAGTGCAGGGATGGAGAACCTTTTTTATTGTCCGTGCCACAAATTTATAAATAATCTTTATGAAATTACTAACGTGCCACACTAAAATTGTCTAGTGAATTATGATTTTTATATTTTTCCCTTTTTTGCTTTTTTATTTTTTATTTTATGTTTTCCTTTTTTCACTCTCGAGAAAAAAATTATTATAATTCAATAAACAAAGAAAGAAAAATTTTATTAAACAATTTTATTAAGCTTACATTTTCCGCCATTCCCAAAATTTTCTCTTTCACCATATTCCTAGCTAATGGTATATCTTTAATTCTTTGGATAATTTTTTTCTTTATTTCCGAAATCTTGCACATTGCAACCAGTAGGGCACATTGCAATAAGTAGGGTGCACATTGCAACCAAGCTTCCTTTAAAAAATGACCTTCAGTAAAAGTTTTCCCGTATTGAGAAATAGCTTTTGAAGCTTGATAACTAGCAACAGTAGTGATTGAGTTCCAATATATTTCATTAAGGACGTAGCTTGGGCATTTTTATTTTTGAAAACACTCCTTTTGTTCTTCTTCACTTCGATTGAGAAGAGATTTGTGGTTGGTTTCATAATGTCGCTTTACTGATGATGTTCTACAAACCACCGCTTCT